TGAGCACCCTCGGCTTCGGTTGCAGGTCACTCACGGAACGTTTTTCCTTGCTTCGCAGTGGTTGCACATGTGGTGGCGTCAGGTACCGGTTTTGTGGAGGATCTGAATGAGTCGTAAGTATGGGGTATCTTGCCTTGTGACCTAAATATTTGGGATTTTGCTGGTGGGAGACCCCAGACTGACAGCTTTATGCAGCCTGTGATTGTCAGGAAAGCTACATTGGGAAAGTTTGTCTTTTTCTTAGCAGAAACGTGTGTATTTAAGAAGGTGCAATTTATAAAGCTGAGGAGCATGCTGATTTTGCAGTGTGTTTTGGGTTTTGTTTTTTTTTTTTGTTTGTTTTTGGGTTTAGTTTTTTTTTTTTTTTTTTTAACTGTTTTTACAGATGCTGTTGCCAAAAAAGTTCTCAATCTTTCTTGCTCTTTCTTTCCTTTTGGTAGAGTAAATGTCTTGGTGGATTGATGCTCACCACAAATAAAACCTGACTGCATTTAACCGGATTCCTCATTAGAGTTTGCTGTGTAGCTGCTACAGGGAACTGGGAGAACAAGTATAAGTGCATTCATGCATGGCCGGGAAAGGAAGGGAAAAGGAGGCGTGCAGGACTAGTTCATGGCTGCTTGAAGTGCCAGTTATATTTCACTGTAAAAAAGTGCTTTGATGACAGATTTAGCTCTGATACTGTGGAGGTGTTGAAATAGGTAGTCCTGCCCATAACTTGGTGGTGTAGCGTGATTGTTTGTGAACTGCCTTGCTTTGGCAGTTCCATGGCTCCATGCTTCCTCTTCCAAATAAAAGCTAATGTTCTGAAAATTAAAAGAAGTTTTTTTTTTTTTTTTCAGATTAGAAGGTTGATATAAAGTTCTACAAAGCAGCACAATTATTAGAGTTGAAATAGAAGGTATAGAAAATACTACCTGCTGGGGAAGTAGGAGGTGGCCTTACATGGCTGCTTTGTGGTAAATTTAAGCCAGTCAAAGGCAATGTTTTCATGAGGGTGCAATCTGTGATAAATTACATCCTAGAGCCAAACAGTCAGAAAACCATTCACTTTTTTACCATATTGCTTATTCAGCTAGAGCAGATAATCATAGGATCAAATGAGGTGCAGAATTGTAGGGGAGGGAAAGGGAGTGTGTGGAAGGGGTGCATCAGCAGTTCTGGCTGGTGTTCAGTGTGTAGTGAAAAAGTGAGGTACAGCACTGCTTAGACTTGATTTTCAAAGCTTGTTTTTGAAACATGCCTCATATTTTCAAGGGCTAGGGATAAAGAGGCTAAGTGAATAAAATAGCATATCACATTTCCACAGGTATAAATTTAAATGTGATTGCTGTTTTGGAATGAAGAAGCATAATTCTGTAGTCACATAGCTTTTTTGAAATAGCTGGTAAAAGAAAATCCTGGTTTAGAACGTGGATTTTTTTCATCTACAAAACAGCCTGTATTTGCAGCTGGGATAAGAATTGAATGGTGAGTTGTTCATGACAGATTTGGTTTTTTTTATTTGTTGTTTTGGGGTGTTTTGTGTTTTGGTGGGGTTTTGTGTGCGTGTTTGTTTTTTTCTTTCTTTGTAGCTAATAGGCAAATGATGAAAAAGGTCAGGAAAACATTTTTTAAAAGAAGCTGGGAGCAGTGATTGATGAAAGTTTCAGGTATTCTGTTTTATAGGTACGAGTATTTTGTAGATAACTAAACATTATGGAGTTTTTGCTGTTGCTGAGAACTTTGGGGTTTATGTGAATTTTGGTAGTTGCAAACAATGCCTACTAGAACAAGGTGCTATAGGTGCTAAGTTATAGATATAGGAAAACAAGTAGCAGAGAAGAGCCATCAGAGGTGCAGCTTATCCAGCATCACCCAACTGGCTTGTGGGCATGCAAAGAAAGAGCTAGGGTTCCTATCAGCTTATGCTGACCTTGCTACTGGCTGCCTTAGATCAGTACTGATCTTGTGATACTTGCTGACTTGTTCCAGTGTGATAATGAAACAGATAGGTAACCTAATTAATGCGGGAAATATTTTTCTGTCTGTGAGGATGTATTTGTGGCTCAACCCAGGGTCTGAAGCATCAGAAACTATTCAAGGGGGTGAGAAGAGAGGCAGGGAGAAATAGAGATACCAGCTGGGTTGGCTGAAGGCCCTTTGGATTATGATGTCCGGTTTGTGTCATGGTGGCTTCTTTTAACTGTTAATGATAAAAGTGGGATGCATGGCTTAAGTAGAGATCGAGGCAACATTTGATAACATAGTGCCAAATGTTGGGAAGTTACATGTATTTGACACAAATAATATTGTATCTTATATCCTGATATCTTGTGTTATCCTCTTGTGATGTTGATAGAGGATACACTTTCCACAAGTATGATTGTCACTGTGTCAGCTAGCAGACAGGACTGCATAAGACAGTTAAAAAGAGACTGAAATTTTAAGGCTGGGAATATATTTGCAGGGTCTAGAAACAGCACCTTCAGGATATCCTAAAATACCCATTTGTACAGAGATTTTAGTTTTTCTTCAGTGGTATGTTGGACTTTCTTAATGTTGTCTAATAATTTAGTCGCTGACATTACCAAAACTAGAATGAGTTTAGATGTGTTGTTTTTTTTTTCCACATTTTAGTTTCTGAGGAAGTTGATTAAGTACGTGTTTTTAATGAGTGGTACACCTTGGCAGTTAACATTGTGAACACTACAGTATTTTTTGTAACATCTTGGGTGAAAGATACTAAGCTCCGTTGGAATATTCTGCCTTCAGACATTTCTTTCCCTTGCTTTCTACCAGTTTTGTAAGATTCTGATCTAATTTTCTCAGTGTTTTAATGCTCTTTGCAGTCTCCCATAACAGTCATTCTGTGGCAGGGAGAGGAGAACTCTTCTCTTGTAAATTCTTCTGTGTAAATTCTTCTCTTACAAACCAAAGATGATACTCTAAATTGAAGCACAGCCCAGGATCTGATGATTCAGTAGCTGCTTTCTGCCTCTTGCATCATAACTGATTATTTAACATTGTAATTGGAAGTTAGCTGGAGTTTCATTAGAGTTCTCAAGAGATTCTAGACTGTAACTACTTCTTTGATTATCTCTCTAGTACTTAAGGCAGTGAAGTAGATTTAGAGTGAGGTGTTCAACTGAGCAATATTGTGACTCAAAAATGCTCCTTTCCTGTAGCAGTTTTGTTTTAGTTGTTGCAGATACCCTTTCTGCTCTGCAGCAAGCTTTGCAAACTTGGTATGACATAAGTAAAATAAAAAAAGGTTTGACTTTACCAGCGGATTGATCTATAAAAATGCATTATATTCTAAACAGTCAACAAAAGTATTTAATGTAACTAGAACAGCTGCAAAATACTTCTCCTTAGATTACATATCCTAATCGAACATCTTCTGTGTTTTCGTGTGTTTTCTGATTAATTACTTTTTTTCTGGCTTAGGTTTTTTTGTTTGGTTTTTGTCTTGGCGAATAGTTACAGAAACCTAGTTGGTGCAACTGTGTATGTAGCATCAGGTGCAGGGGCAATCTTAATTCTGAAACATAACTATTTCCTCCTTGTTACCTCCAAAGAAAGAAACAAACCAGGATTTTTATATCTATAGTTTTGTATCAACTTAATTATATATTTTTCCTGTTTCACATATGCATTTCACTTATTTATTTTCAGATTTATAATATAGTGATTTCTTTTTTTTCCCTTTCCAGGTTTAAAGAAAGCCGTAAAGATGATATTTGGCTCGTAGATGTGAGTATATGAGAAAAATGGGAATACCTGCTAGTGGAAACCAAAACACAAAAAAATGTACAGTGCTACACTGTCTATAGTAAAGCTGCTCCATCATTTGGAAAATCATTTGTACATGGTGCAGAAAAATTACATGACAGTAATTCTTCTGACAAGATCGGTAAACAGTGGGTTTGTATTGTTCAGGATAAAGCAGGAATTATACTGAGTACTGGATGCAGTCAGGCTTCATCCTATATTTTACTGTCTTTTAAAGAGGCAAACAGATTGCCTAACTGAGTCAGGAGATGATAACCTCTGTTCAGAATTTTTACAGTTTCATTCTGTGGTTATACCAACTGATTTGTGTTCTACATGTTCGTATTCTAGCACTATAACATCAAATATACAAGGAACTTCTTTTACTTCTCTAATATATTTGAAAAGATTCAGTGCTCCTTATTTCAGAAGCAGGATGGAAAGATTGAGCATGTTTGGGAATGAGATAAAATTCTTTGCAACTCACATAGGATCTGAAATTCCCAAATTGTCTACTTCAGTTTTGAGATTTGAGTCAGGAAACCTATGTATGCTAATTCAGAATTAATCAGTGCTGTATAGAAAAACAAAATCCAACTTTGTCAAGTTGTGACCTGATCTTGTTACACCAAAATACTGATATCTTCCCAATTAATTTCACTGAGGTTTTGCAGCAAGACGTATTCAGAAAGATGAAATGAAGTCTTTGAGTTCTGCTTGGCTGTGAGAAAACAGATTGATTTTACCGTATGCTTATATAAAAGTGGTTGCTGAAGAATAGAAATCCAGAGGGCAGCTTGGGGAAGTGTGTATACATATATATGTATAGTGTTTCCTTTGGAAGAATAGTGTTCCCTTGTTGGCAAGTAAATTCGTATTCCTGGATAGATTGATTACATGATATTTTTTTTTAAAAGGGAAAATATTCACAAGTAATAAAAAAAATGTTACTGCACAGTCTATTTTTAAATAAGAAATAATAAGACAGCAATTGAATGTATTCTTTTCAAACTTGTGCTTTCATATGAAAAGTAGCACCAAATCAGAAGAGCTCTGTTTGTCACTCCAGCTTTGTCATTAACTTGCGGTTTTATAAAGACTCATAAGAGCACCACAACTGGAAAATAATCCTTGCTAATGTATTCGACAGTTAATCATAGAATCACCTTCTCTTAACTATTTATCTTAATTAACTTTTTTTTTCCTCTTTTTTTTTTTCCTCTTCTTTAAATGTATTTGCTTCTCAGTTTTATGCACCTTGGTGTGGCCACTGCAAGAAACTGGAGCCTGTGTGGAATGAAGTGGGTATAGAAATGAGAAACATGGGCTCTCCAGTAAAAGTTGGGAAGATGGATGCAACTTCCTTTTCTAGTAAGCATGGTTTGGTGAGGGGTAATTTCATGACACCCTCTGTTTTGATACTGTTCTCACTCTTTTTTGTTAAGTCATTCTTTTCTGTATTGTAGAGAACAGTTTCCTGATCTTTTTCTCTCTAAAAGTGACAATGTGCTGTAGTGTGCGTTTATCACACTTCTGTCTGCTTGTGTGGGAAATTATGACAAAGGGAAGGTAAAAGCTTTTGAAAGATCTGCTTCTGATATACTTCTTAAAGTACTGTTATACAGGCTTCTTTATGTGGTGTGTCTCTTGCCAACATGCAATTTTAGGTTCTCTGTATTACTGTTGAAGTGCTTGTGTTCTTGCTGTTATTCTTTCCAGGTAATTGTCCCTTAAGATGTTACACCAAAAGCATGCTTAAATCACTGAAGTCATTACATCAGTGTCAAGCCAATTTCTCCCCATGTTTCTCTGTAAATGTCTTGTTGAAGAGCCAATTTCACCTATTTTAATGCTTTCTTCTTTGATGATGCCTTTCGTATGTACTGACCTTTGCAGGGAAAAGCCAAAACGTTAGCTCTTCAGATAATTGGCTTAGGTAGACATAAGAGGATTGTTGCATTCTTAACATCATTTTCTTAGTTTTAGCATGCTTTTTTATTGTCATTTCATTTAAATCTGTGTTAAACCAAGAGGGTGTTTACGAGGGAAGGCACAGGGGGAGCAGTGTGGACCAAGTAAGATCTGTGTGTAATAAAACTTGGTTATTACAGGTAACGTTTTTATTTAATACACATTAAAACTGATTCTTCAGCATTTTTATATTTGCATAAATATTATGCAAAATGTTTTTTTTTTCAGTGATATTCCAGTTCTTCTGTGATTATATGTAGCAGAGTTTGGTCTTTTGAGATCAGTTTGATCTTGTCTCAGACACCAATTTGTTGTATGTAGTTTTTCTGTAAACAACAGAAGTTTTACCTCATGTTTCATCTTAAAGATACACATTTGCTAAAGAAAAATTAGTCTTGATTATTAAAAATAACAAGATTATGCAACCAGGTAACTTCAATATTGGGAATAGATTTGGTGGATCTCTAACATCCCAGTCATATATATATATAAAATTCTAAATTATATAAATTGTATAAACTCTTGAAACATGAACTCTTGAAAAATGAAACATTTGCATCTGTCATCCTGATAATAAATTTTTGTGCTTGATACCTGCAGTAGAATTGGCGCTTTGTTTTTGCTCTGAAATTCATGTTTGCATATTTAAAAATTACTAAAACCTGCAAAGATTCCTTTGTGCCATGGACATGTTTTTCTTCTCAGATTTGTTACCAGTTCTATGAGGAATAGAGTCCAATAAATCTTTTGAAATAGTTTTGTGCTTTTATTTCCAAACTGGAGATTTTACATCTGAATATGAAAACCTCAGTCAACTCTGCTTAATGTCTTCCCAGTCTAAAGATTCTCTGAAATCAATTAGTAATTCAGTCTTGAGAATATCAGAAGGAAATGCAGCTGGGCACACACACAATTAGGAAGGAGCTTGAATGGTCGATTCTGCATAGTTTGTGTTCCTAATATGAATGTGAAGTAGTGTGAAAAATCTGACCCTTGGGTAGCTTGTCATCAGTGTTGAGATCACAGCAGAACGTGTAAAGCATCCAGTAAGTGTTGCCTGTGGTAGCTGTGTGGAAGGAGGATACAGCAGTAACATCAACAGAACAGTCACCTGGTGTGGTATCTTGAATTTTCATACGGGTTAGCCTCAGAAGTCCACCGAATGTGATCAAAAAAGAACATAATTGCTCCTGTTTGCCTTTATAGGCAAACATGTATGCATTCTTCATATCAGGAAGCGGAGATGATGATGTAAATAAGTAAGTCACTTCCATGATGTTGAGAGGACATATTAACTGTCTGTTGACAGCTCTTGTGATGGGATGTTCTAATACACATTGTAATTCATTCTAGTTCTGTGTGGTACAGCTATGAGGGAAAAGGATCAGAATCAAATCAATCCTAATACACATCTTTCTTAGATCGGTCTCCTTTGATTAAGATGCCAGAAGGTGAGCTGGTAGTTTAAATTGTAGTTCTGTGCAATTAGGATTTTCACCCAACTTTAGGGTTACAATTTCTAAACTGTTATTCAGAGCCCTGCACATAGGTTCTCCCACATGTGCTGCTCTGGCATGTGGTTGTTAGCTTCAGAATGTTTATGTTAGAAGTACTGAATCTTGATGCATTTTGAATGTAGGGGTTATTTTTCAGTTGGAATTGCACAGGCATTGTCAGAATTTTAGATTTTCTAAAATTTTTTTTAGCCTGTTTTGAGTCCTACTTAGTTTACTTCTGGAAAACACTGGATAGTGAAGTTTAAGGTGGCAGTTGCTGTATTCACAAATGGAAGGGCAGTTGCAAGTTGTACTGTAATAGGAGCAAGAGATAAAGTTTTAAACATGAGGTGGGGAAAAAAGTTCTGGAATTGTTTTTTTTTTGCCACTTCAATAAGCAGCAGGTAAGTAACTGAATGGCTAGAACCTATTTCTGGTGAAGTGGATGACTGTAGAAGTTTATCTCTGCAGAATTTGCTTCAAAACCTGACATTTTTGTAACTACTACTACTGCAGTTTTGTTTTACCCATTACTGTAGCATGTAAGTAGTTAATTGTCTTTTATATTTCTTTTAAGTGTTAGTATTTACAGCTGTACATCCATGGTGCTTAATTTTTGTCTCTGGTGCTACTTGTATGTGTATTTTAAATGCATATTACCTTCAAGTGAAAAGTGACCAGGCATGTCTATTTAGAGGATTCTTAGGCCATTTGACATATTAATTGAGACCCCGTGCTGGTACTCTGCAGTACCTCTGAAAGAGGTCCGAAATTTAATATGTCGTAACAGCAGCTTCTTGAAAGCACATAAAATAATTCCTGCTGAATTAAGTGGTAGGTTTTTCATTTATTTATGTGGCTTCAGTGCTAAATTACGTTTAAAAGTTAAGGTAAGAGAGCAAGAAAGCCTTCGTTTACTTTGGCATTAACACGTTTCTTTCAGGTATTGCATCTGAATTTGGAGTGCGAGGCTATCCAACAATTAAGCTGTAAGTTGATGCTTCCCATTGAATTTCTAACACTTACCTCTCCTATCACTGATTTCATGACAGTAAAAAACATACTCCTCTCGGCTTAAAAAATAATAATGAAAAAAAGTAAACCACATAAAAGTCCCCAAAACAAAACCAACCAAACAAAATACTCCACCATGTCAATGTAGCATCATCTTTGTTTTCTGCTGGATTCCATGGCTTTGAAATTCAGCAGTCTCAATCAAGCATCTTATTTAGAAACAGAATTCTTAAAGCCAGGTTAGCAAATTTGGAATTCATTTAACTGCTGTTTGCTGCGCAAATTTTAAAGAGTGTGTGTATATAAATATATATTTCAAATATATATTTACTTACATCTATTTTTATGTATGTAAGTAAATATATGTATTATATATTCCTTATATATGTAAGGAATTTTATACACCAATTGATTTTTACATCTTCAGAGTGATTCAGGCAGTAAGTGCATACCTGAGTCTTCCTGTTAACCTTTACTAAGTTGCTGATTGCATTTTCTTATTTTTAATTGCCTCTCTTCTCTTCAGTGTACCTGAAAATCTTAAGTAAATTATAGTAGTGGTTACTGCATAGGATGAAGTGTGAAAGCAGCTGCTTGACGAGAGAAGCATATGTAGATTTTTCTAATTCATGTATTTAAAAACAAAATTAATGGAGGACAAAATTTATATTACAATACCAGTTCATAATAACGTATTTGCTTATAACACATCTATTCCAGCACAAGGTAATATTAAATGAAGACTTAATTTTGAGTACTTTTTACTATTTACATACTAGGTTTGCTCGCAGCTTTTTGTTTAAGGAATTAAGTATTCATAATATAAAAAAAATCTTGTCTTGTTTTTGGTTTTGTTTTTTTTTTTTTTTCCAAAAAACCAGCCGAGATGTTTAGCTTAATATTTAAGGATGAAAAACTTTGTTGACATACAGAAGCATAGAAAATTCAGATTATTTTTTTTCCTATGAGTTTGCTAAACCTGCATGGATTCAAAGAAAGCCTTTTAGAATTAGTAAAACTTACTTGAATATTCTTATAATGCAAGTGTGCTACATCCCCTGTCAGCAGTGTACAATAAACTGACCAGCACTTCATGAAAGCTTAATACATAAATTAAGAAAGTTTTACAGGTCGTTTGATACTTTTCAGTTATTTTTTAAAAAAATGCATTGAAGAAGCTTATATACTTGTCTTTCACAAGGCCCAATTCCGAATCCGCTATAAATACTGAATGTTTGGGGTTTGGTTTGGGTGTGGGATGTTATTTTTTTGTGGTCACAAGCAATGCTCCAAATGATCTGTGTGTTTACAAAGTAAATGAATGCTGTGCACTAGAAAAAAATAATTGTAAAAGAATGTTAATTATTATTAGAAGTCAGTAAATCAGATATCGTGTAATTAAATTTTACTCCATAATTGTGTTGTGTTGCATCGTTGAGTTTTATATTTTGCTGACCATTTATTTTATCTGACTGTGAAAAATTACCTTGCTTATTGCTTTCTGAAGGGCGCCTTTAATAAACGTGTGAACACTGAGTAATTCTACATGTGCAGGTATAGTTAGGTTGATTTCAGTTTTGTTCTTGTGTTTCCTATTTTACCTAGCTTAAAAGGTGACTTGGCATACAACTACAGGGGACCTAGAACCAAAGATGATATAATAGAATTTGCTAATAGAGTGGCAGGGTAAGTATACTCCTCTTTGATTCAAAGTGTGCTTTGGATCTTGTGACTTAAAACATAGGATTTTGAGCTGGGCCAAAAATTACATCTACTTTAAAAAGAATGAGATTGACACGAAGTTAAAACCAGTATGCATTATACATGCAGTTTCTTGTGAGGTTGTTGGTGAGTGGCATGGAGAAAGTAAGTAGAGTCTGGCTAGTCCCCATCCCTTCTTTACAGTGCAGTAACTGAGGGCTTTTCAAAGCAGTGGAAACTAGGAAGAAATTAAACTCATGGAAGCCAGAAACAAGAATACTGACCTAAATGCTGGCTGATAGATGTCATTGCTAAGACAGACCGTTTAATACTGAAAAGTTATCTCGGCTTAATACATGCTTACGTATCTGAAAAGTTGCAGCAATTGGCAGTGTAAGGAAATTGCTTTTACAGAATGGTTCACAACCCTATTGGCTTTTTCTTCCTTCCCTACAGTAGCCTGTGGCTTTAATATGTTATAGACTGTAATCTTCAGGGAGAAAAAAGAATCACATATTTTTCCTTCATTCTTAAATATAATTAAGAAGCATTTATATAGGTACATGATATTAATTATTGTTCAGAATTCTGGAGTTTAGGAATATCGGTGATCTCTAATAATTTACCAGAATTTTGTAGGAGTATTTATTTCTAAGACCACATTTTCTATCTGCTGTGCTTAGAATTTTATCTCTCAGATTGTGGCTGTGAAGACCTTATCATGGCCTTTCAGTATATAAAGAGGGCTTATAAGAAAGATGGAGAGAGACTTTTTACCAGAGCCTGTACTGACAAGACAAGGGGCAATGGTTTTGAATTGAAAAAGGGTACATTCAGATTGGACGTAAAGACGAAATTCTTTACTGCGAGAGTGATGAGACACTGGAACACAAAGAAGTTGTGGCTGCCCCATCCCTTGGAGTATTCAAGGCCAGGTTGGATGGGGCTTTGAGCACCCTAGTCTAGTGGAAGGTGACCCTGCTCATGGCAGGGGGGAGTTGGAACTAGATGATTTTTAAGGTCTTTTCCAACACAGTCCGTGATTCTGTGACCAGTAAATGGTGTGCACAATTACATCAAAACAGCATTTTTTACTAAGATGGTAATTTCGTATTTAAGTGTGCTATTTGAGAAACATAACAAATTTTGCGGGTGTGTGTGTGATTTTTATTTTGGGTTTTTTTTTTTGAGGTTTTTTGGTTGGTTGGTTGGTTTTGAGGTTTGTTTTTGTTTTTGTTTTTTTTAGTTCAAACTGAAATAACAAATCGGGAAATCTAGTTTTTTTAAGAAATAAAAAATCCCAGTATGGTATTTGGGGGGGGTGTGTGTTGTTTCTTTGGGTTTTGCACCTTAGAAACTGATTTTATTCTTTCTTTTTCCTTCCTCCTAGACCTCTTATCAGGCCACTTCCTAGCCAACATATGTTTGACCACGTGCAAAAGAGACATCATGTACTTTTTGTGTATGTTGGTGGTGAATCTCCTTTAAAGGTTTGAAGCTTGACTGAATAAAGTTACTTCTTTTGACTATTCACAGATGTAAAGTATCTTCTCATAGACTGAAGTACATGCTTGTAATATGCACAATTGTTTAATTTTTATTGATGTGTTTTTACAATCTTGTGTCATAACCGTATTTTCTAACTACTCTTTGAAGATAAGGTATGTTACGAAACTTCTGTTGCTTCTATTTTTGCAGGAAAAATACATTGAAGTTGCTTCAGAACTCATAGTTTATACATACTTTTTTTCTGCCTCAGAAGATGTGCTGCCTGAGGTAAGCTGTCTCAGTTCCTGCCATTTCTGCAAAAACAGAGTAGTTCTCCTCACATGTAATTTTGCTGGTTTAATGGCGCAGAACTGGCTTTTAAGTTGTGAATGCTTCATCCAAGTTGTGAATGCTCCATCCCTGGCAGTGTTCAAGTCCAGGTTGGACAGAGCCTTGGGTGGCATGGTTTAGTGGGAGGTGTCCCTACCCACGGCAAGGGGGTTGGAACTAGATGATCATACGGTTCTTTCCAACCCTGACTATTCTATGATTCTGTGATTTGCCTGTGATAATTTTCAAACTAACTGCACTGAAACATTTAATTTTTGAGTCTATATTGGGAAAGAGTGCAAAACATGTTTTGGTCTGTCATTGCTTTGTATTGGCCAAATTACTTACTCGGTCATATTAATGAAAATAAACAGCAGATATACAGAACTCAACGCAGACCGTATGACCTGCTCAAGAAGTGAGATACTTGATTTTTTTTTTAGCCAGTGTAAAGCTGTTGTTGCTCCTACGTTCTTTCACAAACCACTTGTGTAACTAGCTGGGGGAGTTATGGCATGGGGTACCACTGGGTACCCTAATAATCAAAGAAGTAAGTGAAAAGGTAAGTTCTTTTCACCTTGTTCAGTACAGCTGATCAAAACATTAGTTTACCAAGGGCTAGACTGATCCACTCAGTCTACTGGCTACAGAATTCTCATGTGGCATATTGAAGCAAAATAAAGAGGCTTTTTGATTTATTGCTATCTCCAAGTGGGACCTAACTACTCCAGGGCTGGTAACGCATAACTTGGACATTAGTTTGGTATTAGCAGAGTGAGAACTAGAATAATGTATTTTTTTTAGGCACACAGAATCATAGAATAGTTAGGGTTGGACAGGACCTTCAGATCATCTAGTTCCAGCCCCCCTGCCATGGGCAGGGACACCTCCCACTAAACCATGTCACCCAAGGCTCTTTCTAACCTGGCTTTGAACACCACCAGGGATGGAGCATTCACAGCTTCCCTGGGCAACCCATTCCAGTGCCTCACCACCCTTATAGTAAAGAGCTTCTTCCTTATATCCAATCTAAACTTCCCCTGTTTAAGTTTTAGCCCGTTACCCCTTGTCCTGTCACTACAGTCCCTAATGAAAAGTTCCTCCCCAGCATCCCTGTAGCCCCCCTTCAGATACTGGAAGGCTGCTATGAGGTCTCCATGCAGCCTTCTCTTCTCCAGCCCCAACAGCCCCAACTTTCTCAGCCTGTTTTCATACAGGAGGTGCTCCATTACCCTGATCATCCTCGTGGCCCTCCGCTGGGCTTGTTCCAATGGTTCCATGTTGTTTTTATGTTGAGGACAGCAGAACTGCACAGAATACTCCAAGTGAGGTCTCAGAAGAGCAGAGTAGAGGGGCAGGATCACCTCCTTTGACCTGCTGGTCATACTTCTCTTGATGCAGCCCAGGATATGGTTGGCTCTCTGGGCTGCAGGTGCACACTGAAGCCAGCTCATGTTCATTTTCTCATCAATCAGCACCCCTGAGTCCTTTTCTGCAGGGCTGCTCTGAATCTCTTCTCTGCCCAACCTGTAGCTGTGACTGGGATTGCTCTGACCCAGGTGTAGGACCTTGCACTTGTCATGGTTAAACTTCATGAGGTTGGCATCAGCCCACCTCACAAGTATGTCAAGGTCCCTCTGGATGGCATTCCTTCCCTCCAGCGTATCAACCAAACCACACAGCTTGGTGTCACTGGCAAACTAGGTGAGGGCACACTCAATCCCGCTGTCCATGTCACGGACAAAGATGTTGAGCAAGACTGGTCCCAACACCTCATTATAAATTCTGTATTGTTAGATTTCCAGAAGTCTTGTATCAAAAGCTAGCTCAATTGCTGTTTGCACTGCAGCCCCAGCTGAGCAACAAAAGTACTGTTCACTGCTTTAGTGGAAAGAGTGTAAAAGGCTGGAACAATTTGAGATCCTGTGATCCCAGCAATGTACGCAGAGAGCTGTTTTTCCCACTGAATGTAATTTCCCACAAATGTCATTTAATATGAACTAGTGATGGTATGCAACATTCTATGGAGAAAAGCAGAAATCTTAGGAAATTAGTGGTTGCTAGTCGTAATTAGGCTTTGCATGACAGTATTCACTACTGGGCTTTGTTTTGTCACTTTAGGTAACCTTGCTCCAGGCTTCAGGTATCTTTTGCAAGCTGTAAGCTGCACATAGCCTGCTTTTGCCCTTTAAGGAGGCTAAGCTGTGTTTTCAGCAAATAAGAGAATGAAGTATCGTCTAGAATTACCACCTTTTTGCTCATTCATATGACCTGTTACATTATAAACCTACTGCTTTTACATTTATTTCCAAGAAAGATAATGCAGAATGATTGCAGAAGGCATGTCATTTGGAAAACCACTCATGATACTGTTCCTGTGTTTTCCAAACATATCAGAAAATCAAGACAGTTCAGCCAACATCACCATCAAAAATAAGCTCATAATGCAGTCCTTTCTTAACCACAAATGCTATTAGAATTTTAACTCAGCATGGTAGCTAGCGGTAAAGAATGGATGCAGCATGTCTTCTCTGACAGTTACAGAAAACATGAGCTGAATAAGATTAAATTCCAAGGGAAAAGTTTCTGCACACTGTATTTCTGAGGTGTTTTTTTTTCTTTAGTGTGGTGTTAACCATCCTAGCTACTATATTGCAGGCATTCATTGTTCTGTTTGCCTAAATTAGGGCAATTTGCAGCCCTGTCTGCTGAAGCTGTGTCTATATTCCTGTCATCCTGAGCTGCAGGACATACCCCAGATTTAGTGGGACGTGTAGTCAGTGTTACTAGTTTACTGTGCAATATTGACTGTCCGTTTAGTAGCAGTAACAGTATGACGGATATGCTGACAACATCACAAACTGGGAACAGCAAGCGTGATTGGTAAAACCCTCAAGTTATGGTCTCCTATCTAAAGTTCGTGTCCAGCCAACAAAATATTCTTCACGCTACTGTAGATACTACTAAAAGCCATGCTTCATTTAAACTTTGTGAGACCTACCTCTCAAAAACATTTTTGAGTTACTTTTTAATACACAGAAGCTGATACATTTATTTTAGTAAATGCAGACAGAAAACATTTAAATGTACTTTGAGATTTCCCCCATGGACTACATTTCCACGTTTAAAGATTTTTTTGTTTTTTTGTTTAAAAATCTTTTACTCTTCCATGGTTTAACCTGTTTCAGTATGTGATGTTACCTGAATTGCCTGCTGTTGTGGTCTTCAAAGATGGAACTTACTTTGTTTATGATGGTAAGTAGTGGTTTGTAAATCAAGCAAGTTAGGAATATGCAGTATAAGAGACTGGATAAAGTTATATCTGCAACTGTTAGGATTGGGTGGAAATTTTAAGAGCTTATTGTAAGAAAAAGATTTAACAAAATCCATTTCAGTGCTCTGGCGTTGTCTACTGTTTTGTTTTGGTTTTCTTCCCCATAGTAGGGGAATGGGGTGCAGATCTATGACAAGCTTTATGGTAGGAATTACTTGCTTTTTAGCCAATTACTATGATTTTTAGCCAATTAATTGTTAGCCTGAAGTTACTGATAATTCATTCTGTACAATAGATTTATTCATTCTATACGATAGGATTAAACACAAATGTATTTAATTAGCATTTGTGTGTGTGTATATGCATCGTACATACATATGTTTATATATGTTTTTCACTTGTGATTAAGATCTAATTACAGTGGTGTTGGTGGTATGTGCTAGAATTTGAGTCATTACAGGTTAAAATACCTGGTATTGGAAACTAACCTTCAGTATAACTGACTCTGAATTTACACTCACAATGCTGTTAATGCATCTAATTTTTCTTGATTTCTTTGTATTTCATTTAAGGACTCGTTACAAATACTGCAGTATTTTCGTATCTCTTTACTTTGTTTGAAACGATGCAAAATTATCTTGTAAAATAGTATTGTTTATCCTTGATTTAGGAAAAAAAAAAAGTCATTAAATCAGCGTCTCCTGCTTTACTATAATACTTTTTGTTTGACAATTGAAAATAACTGTAGAAGTTTTAAAACTAAAGAGGAATTGGGGGAAATGTGTGAGATCTTGTCTTACAATAATAAAAGGAAAAAATACAAGAAAAAAAAAGTGCCTCTATAGCCAGAATAATTTATTTTTTTTTTTTAGAGTATGAAGATGGTGATTTGTCGTCCTGGATAAATAGGGAAAGATTTCAAGGTTATCTTCATGTAGATGGCTTCACACTATATGAACTTGGAGATACAGGTGAGATGCTGCTATCACTAAACTTTCTGGCATCTCTTGTACTTAATGCTTAGAAAAGTTAAAGAGCGCTAAGAATGTGTTTTTGAAATCTCAACAATTAATCTTGGAGCTAGAATTGATAGTGCCAGTCTTTTTTTTTTGATATTGGTGAGATCTGTTCTGTTGTCTATAGGCTTCATGCAAGGCCTGCACTAGTCCTTTCCTCACAGCATAAAAATTAGTATGTCTAATCCTGTAGTAGTCACAAAAAATTAGTAGGACTTTCAATTTAAGAGCAGATGAGGTTTTGCATAAATTACATGGAATGTATGTGGTATGGCATTAAGCCATATCTTACTTTCAATACCTTTAAGAAAACCACATTTGGGCAGGTAGAAGAGGCTATTTGTTACAGCAGTTGGTTTATACTTAAAACTAATTGCCCTACCTGGAGAGTATCTGATCTTCTAGGTTGGAGTATTTTTCATCTGAGAATGCGTGTTTCTCTTTAAGTGGTTTCAAGTATTTTATTCCTTATTTTAGGAAAACTTGTGGCTATTGCAGTCATTGATGATAAAAACTCTTCAGCGGAACATACCAGGTACAGAATTGAGTATTGGTGTCACTGTGGGAGAAATGTGCTGGTATGATGTAGAGAACTTTGGAAGTTTCTTAAATGTTAAGAAATGCTAGGTTACATGAATGGGTTTAACCTGTGGATGTTCTCTAATTTCTGACTTTACCCTACTGAATTTATTTAATTTATGGCTCTGTTGAAGAACGTGTGAGTTCAGTGAGATTATGGGAGTTCCTGTATCACTCTACTGCCATTTGCTAATGAGGTCACAGGAGCAAACAGTGATCACATAGCTTTTTTAAGCTGTTATATCACCTTTTAATCATAGGTAAGAGTACTTGAGTTCAGATGACTTTGGGATGAACTTAGTTTAAACCAGTGACAGTTCCTCAGCTCAGTTGCATTAAAAATTAATTTAGTCATGCTTATATATTAGTTGTCTGTAGAACTTAAATTAGGAAGGGGCATTTTCAATTGGGTTGGAATTTGCTGAAGAGACTGAGAGGAACATACCTTCCCCTGTCATTCTCTGGTTGCATAGATGAGTAAGAAAATATTGTTCAAATACTGTATATGCTATTTTCCCAGACATCTTTGGATTTTCTTCAAAGTGCTGTATCTTCAGATAGCGTGAAGCAGCTTGACATCTGTCTTTCTCCTGTTGAGATTATGTGGTAGATAGTCTTTCAACCTTTAGAAACCAAGCAAGATCAATGAGGTTTGTTTGTTAATGGAACAGGGGATCCTTAATGCTGATGAGGTACTATTTGCTGCTTACTGGTGAAATCTCCATGTTTATAGTTTGTATTTTGACAGAGTATATCCTGGATTAATAACGTTACTTTTTTTTTCCATCCAGACTAAAATCTATTATTCAGGAAGTTGCTAGAGATTATAGGGATCACTTTCACAGGTAAACAGACATGGTACTATAATATCTTAAGTGAACTTCTGCATTAATCTTTTAAAGACAGCAGTCATTTTTTTAGTTTTACGTGACAAATGTTACAGTGCTTGCTTTTATATTCGTATAGTGGTATTTTATAAGACCATTCCATTAATTATGTTGTGGGATGCTGTTTGTTTTGTAGATCATCAGTTTGTTAATTATATTGCTGAGTGTGTGCTCGAATCTTCAGTTATCGGAAAAAAATTTAAGGAAGAACTTTGCTGAAACTCGCTGTTCTTTTTTCCTTTTCATCAACCTGTTTTTCACTGCTTCTCTTACAGGGATTTCCAGTTTGGCCATATGGATGGAAATGATTACATTAATAGTTTACTAATGGAGTAAGTAAATTCTTAGTTGAATATTCTCTCTTCTCTTGGATTTGTTGCTAAATATATTTTATTGAAAACAATCTTATGAAGAATTCTTGCCTTTTGTGCGTTTAGAGGAAAAATTGTTGTCTTCAGAATTCAGCATATAACCTAGTATCAGTTGTTTGTTAAATTAAACTGCATAATTTAATGGTAGAAGTTTGGCTTATTGATAAACTGATAATGGTGGTAGACAGGGCTTCTTTTAGGTCTGCTTTAAATTTTTCTGTTAGAACTGTGTGGGGTTTTCCTTCGTTAAATTTACAATGCACTAGATACATAAAAAGTTATGTCAGTTTGTAACAGGAAATGTAAATAGTGGTTACACATTAGCTATGTTTTTTTTTATTTCTGGAGAGGCACGTTTCATCCTTGATGCATTTTTAAGACATAGAAGTATGTTTCTGCAGAGAAGCAGCATCAGATGTGTGGAAGTTGCTGTCCACACTTGATATGTATACGGTACATTTTGAAATATATAAGTAATTTAGCAAGCTGCTTGACATTTGCCCTTATTGTTATCCTTGTCTAAAAATGTATGGAGAATTAAGTTGTTTGGCATTTACAGTTCACTACTCTGGCCTTCTGAGTGAAAGAAGGGAAAAACAGAGGTCAGTATGCTAGCTCTAAGTTTTCCAATGGACAAAGCATGTGTTCATGCCCCTAAAGACTCTGAGCTTCAAGGGGCTTCAGGAGACACAAGGTCTATAGTTCTGTGTAGATTAACACCTGAATACAATTAATTTAAAACCAGCTGTCTCTCAATTGAAGTTTAGTGATGTGATTGATGTAGTGCTTTATAGCTGCCAAAAGTGAGGCCTTCCTCACTTCATTAATTGCATCTCTGTTGTGGGCTGTGATGTCAGACTGTCAACTGAGCTGTTTGAGCCTGTTCTTCTGACAGAAAAGTGTTTCATTTTTTTGTCTATGCGAGTAAGGGAGTTATTTTGCTGATCCAACAAAACCCTTAAATGTCTTCCTATGTATTCTGCTGAGTACTAGAACTGATGTGAAAAGAAGCAGGGCAGGCAGATGAGGTCTTCTTTAGGAGGAAGAAAATGAAGAAAAAGAAGATAGAATTGCCACTTACAGCAGTAGTGATCTGTTGGCAAGATTGAGTTCAACTGGATTGTTTAACTTAATCTGCAAAATGCCTGATTTTAGAATTTGTAGTATATAGAAAGTTGCTGTTAAAATAATTAGAAGCTTTTAATTATTTTTAAACAGAGTGTGTACGTTTCCAGTTTAAGTGGGAAGCAGCAAAAGAATGCAGCAAAATGTGTTCACTGTTCAAAGTAGCTGCTTTTCATGTGGCGACTTGAGTAGTTTGAGGTAAAATGCATTGTGAGGGCTTCAGTTTTCCACCAGATGGCAGCAAGTGGAAACAGAAAAAAACTGAATAGTGAGAAACCTACTGCACAATACTTTCTTACTGTGTAGGTGCACATAGGAACAAATCCTGTTTCTTCACAAGGGACAATATTGTATGATTTGTGGGGATAGAAGTACTAATCCTTGAAAAGTAGTACACTTTTGAACTTTGCTGTAACTCCATTAGTAGACGTTGTAATTTATCTGTCTCTTCAGAAGGATGAACATGCTTTTGTTGGATTAAAAATTGTACGGTTAAAACTATGCAGAAAAGAAGAAAGCAGACTGTATTTTACTGAAAGCAAAGATACACCTTTGTGTAAGCTAAGGTATATAGCATCATTGGAATGTCACCTATAGGAGTATGTAGAGTATTAATTCCTCAGCTCTTTGAAGAAACGAATTAATCAATTATCATGAAATAATAGCCACAGTTAAGGCTGAAATCATCATCAGTATTACATGGATTACCAATACATGTGGGTGGGGCACTATTAGACAACAGTGAAAATGGAGAAAAACAAGGTTTGCATTGCTTCTGTGTGAAGGAAAGACACCTAGTATTTAAATACATTATTGATATAACACCAGAAAATTGGCAAAGTACAGGAGATTTTTTCTCTTATTTAATGTATTTTAAATCTTCCTTGTTAAACAACACACTTATTCAGTATTAAATTTTCCTAAACTCGATCTGATTTTGAATTTAGGTCTGCTTTGAACAGAGTTTATACTGGTTTGTCTCCAGAGATAATTTCTAACAAGTTTTTTTGTTGATTCCCACCCCCCCCACTTTGTTTCTTTCTGATTCTGTGATACTAAACAATGCTTATGCATGTGAAAGTCAACTGCTGAGTAATAGTTATTTAAAAACTCTGTAGCTCATCTGCTATATCTAAAACAGATGTAGAAAAACTTTGGTGTGGCTCATTCTTTTGACTTGACAGGTAGAGGTTGACTGGTAGAGCTGATCAGTTGTACCATACTGCATGGGATTTGGATTATACTCTGTGCACTGAAATACTTAATGTGTACAAATACAAGGCTACTATCTGTGATCTCTTACTAATTGGCAGGTCAAAAGGTACCTGATTTGCAGTCACTATGGGTATGTAAAATTCAGGAAGATTGAATAGTGTCACTGACACATGTGAAGGAAAAAACAGTAATGAGAAACATGCTTGTACTGTTCAGCTGATTCTCTTCCCCCTTCCTTCTTGCCTTCAAGGAACTGCTAAGGAACACACATGAAGTGAAGGTTAATGGATACCGTTTTAAATGATGTAGGAATTATTTGGGTTGCAGTGTTTTACACAGTAGTTCTTTAATATTTTAACTATCTGTTTTTTGTTTCCAGTGACTTGACAATCCCTACTATTGTTGTATTGAATACCTCCAATCAGCAGTATTTCCTACCAGATAGGCATATTGAGAACACAGAAGACATGGTTCAGTTTATTAACAATATCTTGGATGGTACTGCTGAAGTAAGTCTTCATTGTGACTTGGAATATGTTAGTTGGTGTTTATTTCCATAGGTGCTAAAGTAGGGAAAAAATTTGGTTACTCTGTTATGCCATGTATTTTATCTTCCTGTCTTGTCTGTCTTCCTCTGCTATGTTCTGTCAGTGAATTGTGAATTCTTGAGTTGTGCTGTTGCTTGCTGCTCTGACTGCAGAATCTCTTGGAGAAAGCAACCTTTTTTTTTTGTTTATAGCATAATGTTAGATGACTTCTCTTGATATTTCTTTTACAGGTGTCATTGGTAAATAGAGAGCTTTTTATTCATTTCTGGGTTTGCTTTAAACATGTTTCTTATTTTTTTTTTCATAACACATAATTAAGCTCTACTCTTTCCTTTGGGCAGTAATTAATAAATCTAATAGCTTGATGAAGGATAGGTTTAGACTCAAAAACTAGTGGTATATTTGCTTTGAAAATTACAAAGAGACACAAGATTACCCCTTTCTTTCTGCCTAAAACTAAAATGAGCTGGTTTTTGTTAAAACAACATTTAAATCAGTCTGGAATTGATGGCTTGGACAGTTTCTTACTGTTGGCAAAACAAACTTGGGTGTGCTTATTCCTGCAGTGTACTGTAAGATGGACAGAAGGCTTTGTTATGTGGATGAGGGGGGGATCATGGATCAGAGGTTTCACGTGTGGTGATGGGGCATGAAGTGGGGCTGTGCTAACAAATCATTTGGCTGCCTCTTGAGAGAAGCCTATGTTGGTTTAAGCCCCAGTTCACTGTATATTGCAAGCTTACTGTTTTGGCTGAATCCCACTTTATGTCAGCAGTTTTAGGTCATCAGGTGGTAATGATAATAATGCTGTAGATTGTTCAGTCATACGTGGTACATTGGTTTATTTAATCTGACAAATTGATGTAGCAACATAATATAGGTGGGGTTTTTTGCTATTCATTACTTGTCATGCTTCTAGTTGGAAGGTGAGAGGTATTCCTGTAATTTAATTGGTGGTTCTTTGTTCTTCAGTTCTCAGTTTTTTAATGCTTTAATTGCATTGAATTATGTTATCAACACCTAATTTGCTCTATTAAACATACCCTTCAGGTTGAAATAACAAATGACATTGGTTTGTTTGGTTTTTGACTTTGAAGAAATTCATTTGCGATGCCTTGTTTTTTTCTGACATAGTGTCACTTAGGTCTTGCTACCTTTTTGTTTCCAGTATTTCAGCTAGAATTATTAAATGTCTGTCTAAACTCACATCTCTATCTATGCGAAAGTGATAATGCAAGACGTTTTTGTAATTTGAGGGGTTTTGGCCAGCATCTGGTGCAGATCAGTTGACTTCCAAAATGTAGGTTTGTTTCTCTGTAAGCTCAAGGCGAGTGAAAACTGGTCCTCTTCAACAGACAAATTGCTTTGTTATTTTGAAGACTGCTAAATTAGATGGCAGTGAAGGTATAGTCTGACATCGCTTGATATGAGTTTTCTTTATTATGCCTTTCTATCTCCTTGTTACTTAATGCCTAGACTTTTCTAACAGCTTCTGTTATAAATGATAAATAGATATAAATAAATCCATAAATAGTTGCAGGAAAGTTCAGAAGATCACTGCCATTTTATAATTGTTACATCAGGATAGTTGGTAGTTTCTGTTAGTGTTCCTTTATGGTAAGAGAATGGAGTGCCAGTCCACTGCTGAAATTTGCACTGATTGTTAAAACAATTGTGAGAGATTTTTTCATGAGACTACCAAGATGTTTATCCATGTGTGAGAACTTGGAGCATCTGGGCATCCTAAGATGCAAGAATAATTGCTTTTCATTTCCTTCTAAAGGGACTTAAGATTGCAAGGTCTGAAGAATGAACTTTTGGAATCATAACTGAAAAGTGTCAGCAGTTTTGACATGGTTCCATTTGAAATTTCAGGCACAGGGTGGTGATGGACTTCTGCAACGAATCAAGAGAATAATCTATGATGCCAAGTCTACTGTAGTGGTGAGTTTTATTTTTCATTAAACTAGATGGTGCCATTGTCAATCAAAATGTATAGAAAAAGTTTGTTTACATATACATTGTGCATATGTCATAGGTACGTGTACATGAGGTATAAGCCAAATGAACTTCTTGATTAAAGTTTTTAATAATATTTTCCAGTGTGCTAAATATTCAACATACATTAGTTTCTTCATTTTCCATTCCTTTTCTGTATTGGTCTGGCACTTATTTTAAGGATAGAACAGGGAGGATTCAAAATCTTTTCCTTGACTCCTGTGACATCCTTTCGCTGAAACTGATAGCCCTTCTGCGTTCTGAGAAATGTTAGCGTTTAAGTCGAATGAGCTAGAGCATAAGGGAATTAAGTACTACACTTTGTGTAGTTTTAAAGCAAATATTTTTATCATCTTTCTCATAGGTTAATTATGCTTAACAGAATTTTGTTGGGAAAATGTACACAAATCCATTTCTTCACTTGTTCTACACAAGCAAAAAACCTATGCTGTGGATTCAAATTGAAACTTACATGTTTCTATCAGTGTCTTCAAAACTTCTATCAACATGCAACGTTTTCTGAAACTAAAAGTCCATTCTCCTAAGCCATTAAACTACTGCTCAGTAGAAAGCTGTCTAATAACAGCTGTAGAATGTTTCTGCAGATCCCTTATTACTCAGACTAATTTTTGAGAATGAGACACAAAGAGATGAAACTGGTTGCTTCAAAATGTTATTCTAATACCATTAGAACAATTATTTCTTAAGCTTCAAATAATTAATTGGATATACATTTGGCATGTTAACATTAGCTATCCCAATGCAACATTGTAATATTTGCACTTCCAAGTCTTTTTTTTTTTTTTTTAATGAACTTAGAGTAGTAATTGTTAAAATGAGGATAACTCCTCCTTTCTGAGGAGAAAAAGAAACAAACAAAAAACCCCAAGCAGCCACCACCAACAAAAAAACCACAACAAAACCGAGCAAAAAAACCCCACCACAAACCAACCAAACAAAAACCACCAAAACCAAACCTGACTGTAATTTTTGATGTTTCTGAATCAATACCCAGAGTAATAAGAGAAGTGATGTGGTAATTTTTTATATTAACTGAAAATTTTTTTTACTTCAAATTTGTGTTTCAACAGTCTGTGTTCAAGAGTTCACCACTTCTGGGATGCTTTCTGTTTGGGTTGCCCTTGGGGGTCATCAGCATTATGTGTTATGGAATCTGCACAGCTGATACAGATGGAGGGGTAGATGAACATGAGGCAGCTAAAAAGGAAAATGGTGATCGGGAGCTCACAGATGAAGGCAGTGAGGAAGAGCAAGAGGAGGAAAAGAATGGAAAATATACAGAACTTTCAGATGGAGAAGTGAAACAGAAAGACATAATGGAAAAGAAAAAAGACTAACCTTTTGAACAAAAGAATTCTCTAGAATTTCCAAATAGACTTATTTATTGAAGGTAGTCATTTATCGATGATCTTCATGAAAGAGGACCTTTCTGTTTATATTATGGTAGTTTTGACTTGCATGTATTCAAATTTTCTCAGAAATTGATAGGTAAAAAAATACGGATGTTCTCTTAATTGTCTTTAACAGATCAAGAAAACACAATTTAAACTGATAAGATTTGCAGGTACAGTTCTGCACTGTTTTTGTTTTGTTTGTTTTTTTTTTTTAAGAGTTTTGAATTGTTCATTTTCAGAACAGTGAGATAAAGTTACTTGACCTTAGTGTACATGATGAACTACTACTAATACAGCCCAACTGAATACTCATTCATGTAAAACTAAGGCTGAAAATTAAGAAAGGTAAGTTAAGGTATCTGTAAAGTCTTTCAGAGCCTGATAGCTGAAGACAACTTAGAGGTTTCGAAGAGGTCACGTTATACTTGTTGCACATAATTTTGGAAAAAAAAAAAAAATCCAAACCACCCTAAACTTTTCTATTTTCTCAAGTGAAATGTAAATTGTTAGGAATTAGAGGACTGTTTTACCATGTAGTAATATAATTGCTGGCAGTCAAGAATGTTTACTTGACATAGGATGTGACAGTTAGATGCTAAATTAAGTCTTATTAGGGCTGTAGCAGCTAAAAATATTGGAAAAGTTCATTATAAAACTTTTAGCCTGTTAAATTATTTTGTATGAGTGTTTACACAAACTTACAGTGCAAATGATATTTAAGTTTTCTGAATCTGCAGTACAACTTGATAAAGGAAGACAAACACCCTTTATTTTTCAGTAACTTTCTAATGACAAGCTTTTTGAATGGTGTTTCATAGAATCATAGAATAGTTAGGGTTGGAAAGGACTTTAAGATCATCTAGTTCCACCCCCCCTGCCATGGGCAGGGACACCTCCCACTAAACCATCTCACCCAAGGCTCTATCTGACCTGGCCTTGAGCACTGCCAGGGATGGAGCATTCACAACTTCCCTGGGCAACCCATTCCAGTGCCTCACCACCCTAACAGTAAAGAACTTCTTCTTTATATCCAATCTAAACTTCCCCTGTTTAAGTTTGAATCCATTACCCCTTTTCCTATCACTACAGTCCCTAGTGAAGAGTCCCTCTCCAGCATCCTTGTAGGCCCCCTTCAGATACTGGAAGGCTGCTGTGAGGTCTCCACCCAGCCTTCTCTTCTCCAGGCTGAGCAGCCCCAACTTTCTCAGCCTGTCTTCATAGGGAAGGTGCTCCAGTCCCCTGATCATCCTTGTGGCCCTCCTCTGGACTTGTTTCAACAGTTCCATGTTGTTTTTATGTTGAGGACACCAGAACTGCACACAATATTCCAGGTGAGGTCTCACGAGAGCAGAGTAGAGGGGCAGGATCACCTCTCTTGACCTGCTGGTCACGCTCCTTTTGATGCAGCCCAGGATATGGTTGGCTTTCTGGGCTGCGGGTGCACACTGAAGCCAGCTCATGTTCATCTTCTCATTGAGCAGCACCCCCAAGTCCTTCTCCGCAGGGCTGCTCTGAATCTCTTCTCTGCCCAAATTTGTTTAATTTGCCAAATTTGTTTAATTCAGGTTGATATGTATATTTTTTAGGTAGTTGGCGTTGGTATTTTTGTTTGAGACTGTTACATACTCTGGAGTTAACAGAGCATAATACTAGTAGATATTGGTCAGCGTAATGCATTTTTGTTACCTGTTTCATTATAGAAGTCACTTTTAGTACAACCCGCGTGACTGTTAAAAGGATTAGTTTGTGTCCAGGGTTAAAATCTCCAAGTGTATGCTATAAAGCAGACTTTGGCATTGATGTCTTGGAGGGTATTACGGAAAAATAATCCTAACATTGCTCTTCATAAGTATTTGTCATGGGGTTTTTCTCTTTTTTTTTTTTTTTTAATGTTGTATGCCTGTATAATACAGATTATAATGCTCTCCTTACAAGGCAGCTTGATCACGTAAGAAATTCCTATGCTATAGCACTAAATTAAGGAATATTAAGTAAAAAAGATGGGTAAGCTTAAATAGAGAAGTTCTGTGTTTGAGTAAACCTGATGATGATAATATAAATCATAGCCAGGGAAAATGTGTTGCAGCCTTTTTCCTTGTAGGAAAGAAACTTGTTTCTTCTGTTTAAGTAGCTTGGTAACAGCTGGCTTCATGTTGCAGTGCAGAGTACAGTAAGCAGATCCCTGACTTCAAAGATTTTTGTTACCAGACAGTATAAGCAACATCTAAGGAGGTTAGGGTCTTTTGTTTTGTTTTGCCCTTTTTTTTTTTTTTTTTTAAATTCTGTGTCTGATTTTATGTCCAACCTTTTTCCTTTTGAAAGGGGAAAAACATGAGTTCATGAAATACTGAGTAGCAGGTGTTTGATATGTTCGGGTTTTTCTTCCCCTTTTCTTCTTTTTCCTTCTATAAATTGCCTTTTTTCATTTTTTTTTTATCATTATAGCTATTTGTACATAGTGACTTGAGTTTTCTTGTTTTTTGATTTTAGGGTTTTGGTTTTTTTTTGGCAGAATCTTTGAAGTGTAGTTTTAGTGTATATTTGAAAAATGAGATGCTTAAGAATGTGTTTAGAAAGAGGGTTTTTTTAACATAGTGTAGAGATATTGGGTTGTTTTAAAAAGATTCTTCTTTAAAAAGTTCCTTTGTACTTGAGCACAGCTCAGTGCTGATAGTCAAAATGTAGGACTGTTAAGGCAGTAATATATTTTCTTGATTTGTCTCTTAAGGTTGCAGTTACAGATCAGTTACGTATTTAATTTTGGCTGAGGCTGGAAACCTGCAGCTTTTGACTTAATAAAAACACTGAAATGGTCAATGGAATGTTGCTGTTCCTTCTATGGTGTGTAATAAATTCTGAATTCTGCTGCACTGCTAAGAACTGTTTCAACTATGAGCCTTCATTTTCTGTTGTTATTTTTGTTTGTGTTTATAATAAGTAGTAGCCAAATAACTTGCTGAGCAATCTTCTGAGATGTGGACCTGAATATGATAAATACTGTGTAAGAAATGGATCACAATGGGATCTGTTAAAACTGAAACACTTAACTACTAGAGTTAGAAGGAAAGCATGTGTCTCAGTCACTTCTGAACTGCAGTTTAATCAATTAGATATGTACTGAACTGTTGGAAATTAAATTTGAAGTGTACTGCCATTTTCACCAAACCCTTCTCCCAGCTATATTCAACAAGACACAGGGAGAAGAAGAGTGTACAAGACTGGGTGCCAGATGTAATGTGAAATTAAGGGGTTTGCTGTGGTGATGCAGATAATCGAGTGCTGCCTGAGGGGGAATGTGGCATTTTATTGTTTTCTTCAGTTTTTAAAGTTTCTTGAAGCTACTTCACTGTAATAACATCAAATTCACAAAATAATGCTGCTTTTTTAAGTCAAGTGTAAGCCTTTTGTTTTTATGTAATAAAAATATTCAAAATAGCTTGTTTCCTTTGCTTAATTTACGCTGTGTTAAGCTTGGCTATTACACACTGTGTTAGGAGGCTGTGTTTCCTGGGGCACTTGTTATAAGTGTACTTCAGGCCCCAGGTAATGCAGTGCAAAAAGGCAGCTGGTAGCTTTTTAAAAGAAAAATGAGTTCGTCCTGTCTGATACCTTCTCGTCAATATTTGGAAATGCTCTCTAGGTGTAGGAGTTAATATTTACTTTTGTTCACTCAATAAAGAGAGTGAGTTAACAGCAGTATAAAACAAATGTATTTCTAAAAAAGAAATGTTAAAATACCCATTTGTTCCATTAACATACTCTCAAATTCTCAGAAGAGTTTGAGTAGCTAAGGGAACCTCAGCTGTACTGTTCCAGTATGCATCTTTCTGGAAGAACTTGAGTAGCTTTGACACTTGGACGTGTGCAATCTGTTACTCCTTCATGTATATAGGCTGTTTTAACAGATACTGTCCACACAGTGGTGCTCACTGCTTAAAGGATGGAATGATTTCACTCTGGTAGATCTGATGTGTTGAAGATGGTAAAGAAGAGCTTAATTTTCATGAAGTATTTAAAAGGTTTAGCTCATTCTGTTTCAGCCCAGAACTAGTTTACCCTGTTCCTCTTTTGTCAGCATGTTTGAATAAGTGATTGTACTTGGAGGAGTGGGAGGGTGGAGAGTTATGCTGATGACAGCCAGAAGCTCAAGTCTGAAAAGGGTGCAAAAGTGGAATGTACATTCCTGAAGCTTTTAAAGTCTCATGAGGCTATAGAAGTTTCAGGTTGTATTACACTGTGACAGAGCGGTACTGGCTCTGAGATCTTCTCAGGGCACATGGCAGCTTTCTGTTGTGTTGTTCTCATGACTGAGTACATTGCTAACATTAAATCATACAAAGCTGTTGCAGGTCATATTGCTGTAACAAACGGAAACAGTTTTGCCAATGTTGTGATGAATGCTCTGTTGAACTCTTAACTTGTGAAGGTTTTATAATCTACCTAGGCAGTGTACGTGTTCTTGAAACAATTACTTCTCTGATTTCTTTTTACCAGTTTTAAAAGATTGCTGATACTATCCTTGTATCAATTTACTGACATAAAATGCCGTTTAGCAGCTGATATGAACTTTCCTTTTGCTAGCAAATTTCCTTCTGCTTATACACCAAGGAGTATATAAATTTTTGCAGTTGTTTAGAATGAATAAATAGACTAAAAGCATTTTACATAAAGCATTTTTTAATGGAGTATTTTGGCTTTTAAGAATAAGACCTGAAAGATCTAGGTGGTGCTTTGAAGGAGAGCAAGGAAACCTCTAAGACGATTACTTACAAGAGGAATAGTATTGCTTTATAGCTCAGTTACTGGGCTGGTGTAGTTTTCAGCTGGGTTAACGACTAAAATGGTGTCTGGTTTTAGGCTGACTCAAGAGATTGAGTAAGCCCTAACTCATGAAGGGGATCAAAATGCGTTAATGAGAAATGGGAATGGGAGAAGGGAAAGGAGGGGGTGCATGTGTTCTCTTGTCTGTGTCTTATGTCTTGATGTGGATGAACTACATTTAACATTTGCATAACTAGTGAGAGTTTTAAGACCTTCCAAATAAAATCTTATATTCTCCATTCACTTTAGAGAGAGAAATTTACCCGACATAGAGCAAGTAGCATTACTACCCAATTAAGGTTACTACTTATGGATGGATTTGCCATTCTCTTCAGAAACATACACTCCAAGTCACTCAAAATGACATATTTTAATGTTCATCATTTGTTTGAAACAAATACCAAAACCCAACCCACTTTCATCTTAGGTTGCTACACCACTGCTTAAAAGAAATGATAACTCGGAGTGTTTTTAAATTCTTGCAATGGTGGCAACTTGTAGTCCTAATGCTATCAGGAATTGGAGATCTAATCAACAATGTAGGATTTGTATTTTAATTTTAAAGAAGTGTGTTTTTTTTTTTTTGTTTTTGAAGTAAACAATAATAAATAATACTGCAAGAGTTGCTGTTCTTTTTACCTGAATAGTAAATGTTGACTCTTAATTCAAGGCAGACAAGGTATTGTTCATAGACTGGAGGCAAGAAGGGAGAGGAGGGTGGAAATTGAGGTGACTCAAAAGAAAATAAAAAGACTGGGACTTCAGTCCGTAAGCTTTTAATCCCCTCCCAAAGCAGTGGGTTGTTGTTTTTTTTTTTAACTCATTGAGTCATTTTGACTTAGGATTGACTGTAACTTTTTACTTAATTTTTTTTTTTTTGTATGCTTCCCTAAAAAAAATTGAGTGTTCTGACAGTACACTGTACATTAAAAATTGAAATGCAGACTGGTGATGTGGGTGGCGACTAGCTAATTTTCTTTATTTCCTCTTCACTTCTGTAAGATGTGTCTTTTTTAATTTTACCTTTGCACCCTGGGCCAGTTGAGCTGCTTCTACTTTGCACTTCTTGCAGGATACTACTTAGCAGCTATTGAAGAATCAGTGTAGTTTTTTAAGACGTTTTTGGAGATTCTTTTCATCAACAAACATTTAAATCAAGTTTTAGAATAACTTTCATATTCCTAAACAGAACATTTGTTAGAGCGGGAGGAATTACAGGAAAAAGGTTGTCCTATGGTAGAATGCATTTCAAGTAGAATGTGTGTAGATGGTCTGTATAGAAACATAAAGTGTCTAGGAACAGAATTCTCCTTTGAAGTAAGAGATATCCTTTTATGTAAGGTAAAAGAAAGCTAAGACTACCTTCTTTTCAGTCAGTACAAAAATTTAATGTAAGCATATGTCCTGGTTCAGCAGTAGCAGTCATGTTTCTCCTTTGTGGTAGCTGGTGCAGTGCTGTGTTTTGACTTCCAGCCTGGGAACAGTGTTGGTGAAGCTGATGTTTTCGGTTGTTGCTAAGTGATGTTTACCCTGACCAAGGACTTTGTGAGGCTCATGCTCTGCCAGGGAGGAGGTATCTCTTTCTCAGTTGGGGTATAGCTGGTCTCAGATCCTTTGTATCCCCGACTCCAAAAGCCGAGGGGTCGACCTCAAGTCTCCCCTGGAGCTTTCTGTCAGAGGCTCCAGGTAGGACCATTCTCCCCAGCTGCAGTGTACAGTACATTTTTTACATCTGGCCTGGTCCGGACTGGTTCAAGGGCAAAGATTTCGGAATGTCACCAAAAAGAACTGTCGTGGTTTAAACCCTGTCAGGCAACTTGTTCACTCACTCCCAGTGAGTGGTGCTGGGCTGACAACAATCGAGCCCCCCCCCCCGGGGCTCTCCCCTTCCCTGCTCCCGGAGGAACGGGGAGGAGGATCGAAAGAGTGCAACTCCTACGGGTTGAGATAAGAACAGTCCAGCAACCAATGTACAGCACAAATCACCACCGCTACTACCAACAACAGCAATGATAAGAGAAAATAACAAGGGAAGAGAATACGGATACCACCGACCAAGAAACGAGTCCCACCCGGAAGCCCGTGTCCTTCCGGGTAACTCCCAGTTACCCCTCACCCTGGGCATGACGTGCTGTGGTATGGAATACCTCTCTGGCTAGCCCAGGTCAGGAGCCCCGTCTCTGCTTCCTCACAGCTTCCCCTCCTCCCTGGCAGAGCATGAGCCTCACAAAGTCCTTGGTCAGGGTAAACATCACTTAGCAACAACCGAAAACATCGGTATCACCAGCACTGTTCCCGGGCTGGAAGTCAAAACACAGCACTGCACCAGCTACCACAAAGGAGAAACATGACTGCTACTGCTGAACCCAGGACAGCATATTTCCTGCAGAAGTTGGAAGAAGTACTTGTTGGCCCAGATGAGTCCTTGACAATGCAGTAGTTGCTCCTGAGCTGGAGAAACAGATTAATTACCTTCAGCAGGTTTGTCATTTAATAGCTGTGTCCAAGTCTCGGTGGAGAAAATAATTATAAATTATGCTGTGCCATCATGCAAAGTTATGCTTCATGCAAATAAAAAACACTTGAGAATTGGGTTAAACCTTGACATGGTAAGACTATGGTGCATATCTTCCTCCTCTTCCCCATCTTTTAAAATTAAATACTTTTGAAAAAAAAAACGAAATGCTGAGGGAATGAATATTCTTCATAGCTCATTTATGAAATCCCCAACTGCTTAAATCACATCCCAAATGCCAAAGGTTGTAAGAGATAATGTGATATACTGGGGAGTTAACTTTTTAAGATGTATCTGATCCTACTCTCAAGTAAGAAGTATCAAAAGGCTTTCAGAGTGGGTTGAAGGAGAAGAGGAAGTATTTTCTAAAAAAGTAAACAGAAGTGTTGCTCAGTGTCAAATCCCTCTGAGAGGAAGATATACCAGAATATGAAAAGTAGTCTTTGGAATGGATCTTGGAAGTAGCTGGGAGCTTCATGTCATGAATTAAAATAATTAAAAATAGAAGGATTTCTAGTAGAGGGAGAGTAAGTAATACTTGGTTTTTAGAACAGGATTTAAGTTCAGATATGAATCTTGACCTGAATGAAGTATTTCTATTTTTACACTTTGCATCATGTGCTGTTATAATTTAAGCGGTCTGTCTTAAAGAGAAAAGCTGTCAGTGTGTTCATGTGAATTTGTGTTGGGTTTTCATTTCCAGAGAGCACCTGGAATTCCAGCAAAATGCAGAAGCAAGGGGTACTTTCAGTGGGCTGTAACTCTGCATCAGCTTCAGTTGTCAGAAATCTAAATGCTAAGACATACCAGATATAACCTTGAGTTGCTCAATTAGCTTTACAGAAGCTCAAGCCATGTATGGGAAATTAATCGAATGCAGGCATTGTGTGTTAGCTAATGGAGAATTATTATCTATGGCTCAAACAATCCCAAGAAAGAACCTGCATGCCTTCTTTTAGTTTTGTAAATAATGGTTAGGAGATGGGAGGAATTTTTCATTGTGGCATCCTTAAGTGTTGCATCCAAAACGTGTTATATTGGCTAGAAACGTGCAGCAAGGCTCATAGGGGAAGAAAGTTTGCATGAGGGCTAAAGGCAT